CCTTCTAAAAGAAGCTATCGAAGGAAAGATAGATGGGCGGATAGAAGTGACAAGAAGACGAGGAAGAAGACGTAAGAAGATGCTGGATGACCTTGGGGACAGAAGAGGATACTGTCATTTGAAGGAGAAAGCTCTAGATCGCATTAAGTGGAGGAATTGTTTTGAAAGAGACTGTGGACCTGTCGTCTTGACAGATTGATGATGATGATGATGATGATGATGAAACAAGTGCAAAATATATTGTCTTTCTATAGTTCTTTAAATAAAGATTCTGCAGTGATATTCTTATTTACTTTCATCAGCGCTAGTTATTAAATTTTTCTTTTATGTGTTTTCTAAGTTTTTGTCTTTTAAGGCTACCTATTGCTTCACTAATCCGGATGACCTTCCCTCATTACCCCGGATTAGCGAGGGTTTCATATAGTATAAATATATACACGTGATAGTCATTAATTTCGTGGAATGTGGTTTTATCGCATCATTGGTCATGTTTTACGCAGAAACTGCCTTCTAAAAGAAGTTATCGAAGGAAAGATAGAGGGGCGGATAGAAGTGACTAGAAGACGTAAGAAGATGCTGGATGACGTTGGGGACAGAAGAGGATACTCTCATTTGAAGGAGAAAGCTCTATATCGCATTAAGTGGAAGAATTGTTTTGGAAGAGACTGTGGACCTGTCGTCTGACAGATTACTGATGATGATGATGATTACAAGGCATTCACATACATTTACGCAGATCCACATCGGCCCTCAAAATAGTTTCCGTTGGCCTCTATGCAAGTCTGCCAACGTTGATATAGCTGCCGAAAACATTGCTAAACCATATTGGCAGGAAATTCCCGTACGACGCTTTGCGGCCATTCCACGAACTTATTGACTGTGGTAGTATATATATATATATAGTAGTTTGTTTTTACCTGCGTCCCGTCAGAATACGTTGCCACTAACCATCAGTCAGTCAGCCGTACCATCATGACGGCGCTAAACCACTGCGACGTTTCAGAATGAAAGAAAAGCCAGTATATATGTTACAGTTTTACCGCCAGAGAGCTCTGTTTCCTTTATACGATTAAAACAAACGAGAAACAATGGCAGACACATTTATCATTGCGTCCACTCTGCGACAATCGACTTTTAAATGGGAACAAATATTGACAATAAAAACTGAATACATTATGAAGTGAAAGAATTAGAGAGAGACGCAGACACACAGACGGCTTGTTGCCTAGCAAAGATACGGGCGACGCACGGACAGATGGACAGAACAGACAGGGTGATCACATAAGCCTCATTTTATGTTTATTTCAGAATAAGGTAAGCATTGTAACCTGAATACTGTAGGGATAAGGAGAAAGTAGTCCCAAAAGGATCAAACAAACGCTCGTAAGCAAAGTTTGTTTGCCCCCTTGGAAAAATGGCTGACCCCCTTTTGAAAAAAAGAAAACCTTGTCGGCGCCCAGTGACTCTTATGATGTAAGTTCTGATGTTTCTGCAATGGTGATTGTTCTTAGCGTGATTTTCTGGTTTTGACATCATGTATTATTGTAGGTGGATACCGACGTTTCGGAGGGACATCCTGACTCGACCATCATAATTGAAGTGTATAGAGTGCGTAAGTGGCTCGATTATGCAGGCTGTATTCCATTTTTCTTCCCTTGACGGAAAGTAATAGTGTGGCCCTTAAAAGGGCCATTTCCCTATTCACCTTTCATATTGGCCTGGACCAGGCTCTACTCCGCTACTCCCTCCCCTTGGGTGAGTCTCCTTCTTGCAGCCTTTATTAGCAAGCTTTTATTTTCTCAATATTCATACTTCAACACTTAAGATGGAGGCAGCATATTCCTCCGAAACGCTAGTATTATATTAGAAGGCTACATAACCTAGAAAGCAACAGATATCTTAAGTATTTTGTGGCTGTCTACCGATACTGCTAGTATCTAGAACCGGGGAAGACAAATTGTGGGCCGCGACAGGTTCTTGTTCTGCCCGTGTAGCTATTGTACATATATGCCTATAACATTTTTAAAAAATTAAAATTATAGAACTTATGAGCAGCTGCAAGCATCGCCTCCGGTCGCATTTATGCGGTGAATACTGGTATTCATTGTGCGCATTTTCGTTGCCGCGTCGACCTTCTTCAGGTTTGACAAAACACTTTGAAACGCCTAATCAGATCCTTCGGCTATGAACTGTTTCCACTCCTGATTTGGTCTACACAACGTCGAATGATTATGTGGTAGACGAATTGGAAATGATTTTAAGGCAACGTTCGTGGCTAATCGTATCAACCCAGTATTTACCTGAAGTGACTGAGGAAAATCACGTAAACCCTACCCAAGAGCTGTCCCAGCAGAGATTTGAAATGAAAATGTTCAGAATGCTTATCTGGAGTTTTTATAACCTATTTTATATTTTGTCCAGCTTAGACTACAGAGAAACCAATTTATGTTAGTCACCTTTGGTTGCAATCACACCAGGCCAGCTTAAGGAAGTTTGTGGTTAAATTTCCCCATTTGTGTGGCTACAGTAACTAATCGTGATTGTGCTGTTCTGTCTGCACGCCCGTGAAAATGAGGGGGACATGTGGAATGATACAGAAACCTTATAATGGCCAAAACAACACAATTACAGTTAAATGGGTCTCGATTAAACATGTGTGTGCCTCTCTGCCACAGAGATGACTCTTGTCCGAGCGCCCTTATACACGTAATGTCTATTGTCTTTAGGCAATTCATCATTCACTTCTTGAGTGCAGCTTCTTATAATGTCACTTACAGAATAATGGACCTACACAGACGGTTTTACAAGGAATAAACCTTTTCTCTTTTTATCGTTTGGTTTTAACAGCCCTTTTGTTCTGTATCCAGAACAGTATGACGTAGAAATGTAATCAGTCAACACAGTTGAAAGTGGGAAAGGAAACAGACAGAATAAGAGAAAAGCAATTTTGTTTCTAAGCCACATTGAATAAGAGTTCTCTCCTCTGCGAATGAGTGGGCATAGTGACGGGCTGAAAGGACGGGTTTCCATTCCCGACAGGAGTAAGAGATTTCTGTTTTCTCCGCAGTGTCCAGGGCCCTCCCAGTCTCCTATGCAGTGAGTATCGCAGTATGAAGCCGAATTTATGAACGGCTGGAGCTACATCTCTACGCCCTCATGCCTTGACGCGTAAGTAAAGCACAAAGATATCTTTATACCGGGATTTATCATGTAATTAAATATTTACTGAGGTGGGTTGTTTTCATGACTTTGGCAGACAGCTGATTTGTATTGGGTCACTATCGGTTACGAGGGCGAAATGACTGGCTAGGGGCTGAACGACCGAGAGTTCGGAGTTCGAGTCTCGGTAGGGTCAAGAATTTTCACTTCTCCATGTCGTTCAGACCGGCTCTGGGGTCCACACAACCTCCTATACAATAGGTACCGGGGGTAAAGCGGCAGGGGCGTGAAGCTGACCACTCACCTCCAAGTAGTGCCGAGGTCAAGAATACGTGGATCTATACATCAATTCCTCCATACGCCTTCATGGCTTAGTGCTTGATTAGTTAAGCATAGGGACAGCTTTACCTTTATCGGTTACGACACAATTTGCTCTTGTAGCTGAATATGTACGTATCGGAGGGAAATAGTGCGTCTGTTTTCAGGGTATAAGTAAATACTGATCATGTTTCTCTCAGCTTTATCCCTAAACGGTATGTGACAGCCCTCATCCATTGAGTATGGGGTCAAAGCAGCCGGGACCTAAAGGTAACCACTAAATACGAAAAATAGAAATAGTATACATTTCGCATGCCGCATGCTTCTTGCTTCGCTTACTTATCGAGCCTGTAGATGGAGGCAGAAATTGCCTCCGAAACAGCCATATACTTCTACCGGACTGTACGGCGTTACATCCCAGAGGATGGTGCGCTTGTACTCATGTAAGTTCTAAATGTAATCTTCAAGATACGGGCGGATACGAACCAGGGAGCCGGAGATCAGCTTTTGTAGTTGTGTTCTGTCCTGTCCCTGACGAGCGACCTCCATTTGACTCCAGCAGTACTGGATTCTTAATCCAGATAAATGGAATAAGAGTTGTCATGCGGGCAGCGGACACTGAGCCACATTCTGAGATGATATATGTAGCCGGGCAAGCAAGCCATTTCACAATGGCCTCATGATTTGTAAAGCATTATATCTGGTCTGATGAGTGGCCTTCACTTCCCTGCGTCCATTTCCTTTATTACTCGTACATATCGAGGCTGATAAACTCCAGACGCAAAATCTATCTTCACTATTAGCTAACATGACGTTACAACGATCAGTTTTCTGGAAGTTACCGGTCTTCCGAATTTTTGTTAAAAACGACGTTTCGGAGAGTCAACTCCCACAGATAGTGCCTAGCTCTAGCGATTGGGTCCCACAGAGAAGACTTTATTTTTTTTTACCCGAGGATTGAGAACGTGTATATTCTCCGAAACGTCGTCTGAAATGGAAATCACGACGATCGAATGTGTCCAGAAATTTTATAATTATTAGCCTACTTCCCTTATTTTGAAAAAATAACAGTAGGCTTAGGCTGTGTGTCTGCTTATTAAGCCCCATCTATCAACTTTGAATGGCTAGACCAGTTTTTATGAAACTTGGTTTGAGTCCATCTCAGCGACGCACTTCATAAACACCTCCCATTGGTCTGTGTTCCTGTATGTGTATCACTTCTATCGTTGCTAGGCAGCGGCTCGGTGAACACGTTCCCGCTGCAACGAACACGCGCAACAATAGAAGAATTGTTGGACACGTCGTGTTCCATCTAGTCCACGTCGTATCAAGGGAAAGTAGACCATCAATTCTTCCCAGATGTTCTTCTTCAACGACGCTTTTAAACATCTCACGCTGAACAGCATCGAATAAATTCGGGAAGATGTAGACTAAAATAGGAACTCTCGTGGCATTTGCCTAGAGGATCTGAGGAAAGCCATGTAACGCCTCCATCAGGGAAGTCGGTGTCGGCCCTGCTGAGGTTCGAAGCGAACACGTGTCGAAGGCATTGCCACTGGGCCCAATGGCGCGATGGCATGAAGGAAAGAATGCGTGTCCCCGCGGGGCAGGTACCCTAGTTCACAGTGTGACCCCTCATTTCGACATCCCTGTACAATAATAATAACATGTTATTAAAATGATATCTCGCATCTGTGTGAAGCTTAACGGTACGAAAGAGCACGTGTTAGGCAGATACTTCTGGCAATCTGTCTTCATTATTCCCCTCCCCAACACAAGTATGAACGGAACCTGATGGTGTTGGTAACTTTCTACATGCCCTGCATATCAATAGCAACTTCAGTTTCAATTCGAAACTTGTGGAATGACGTTTTGTTTTGTTCCTGTCTCTTAAACTATTTTTTTTTTCCTTGGCACTACAGCCCCAGTGGGCCTAGGCCTGCCTCCATGAACTTCTCCTTTCACGTCGGTTTTTCTAGGTCTTACACATTCGGTAGGACTCCTTGGGCGGGTGATCAGCTCGTTGCAGGGCCTCTACCTGTACACAAACACAGAAAAACGCACACACACAAACTAAACATCCATGCCCTGAATGGGATTCGAACCCATGATCCCGGTTTCCAAGCGAGCGAAGACAGTACATGCCTTAGACCGCTCGGCTGCCGTGAACGGCCTCTTAAACTAATACTTACACGTATTTTGGATGATCTGATCTTTTGATCATCCGGTTTCAGGATTATCCACTTTCGGTTGTCTTGCTTTTGGATTATCCAGTGTTTTAGCTTACTTTCGTTATTAGAAAAAAAAATGAAGGTGGCTTATGATATCGCCTTGCTGTCTGTGTGTGTGTCTCCCTACTGTATTATCCGGCTTCAGGTCCAAGCGGTGTGGCGAGAGACCGTCTGGTAACTCCTGTAAGCATGCATTATGTTGAAGTTGACTGTACTCGTATCGATGTGAACTTTATACGCATCGCTTGCTTTGTGCATAATTATGCTCTATGGCATTCTGAATGCATCTGAATGTCTCGAAGTGGTTTCCTGCTGTTTCATGACGGTTGTACGTGTATGTTGCAGATCGTAAAGGCACGTAGAGCTGGGCTTCTTGATTTGTTCATTAAATGCACACCAGGGAATTGACATTAATGTCATATATTATCAATAATGAAGTAAATTAAGCTTTGTGTCTCACATTAAGGGAAGAATATAGACTGAGGGTGTATGAGAACAGGGCGCAAAGGGGTATTTAACCTAAGAGAGACAATATACTAGGGGTTGGAGAAAACTGCATAATTAAGAGTTCCATAATTTTCATATCTCGTCAAATATTAATAGGATGGTCACATCAGGGAGGATGCAATGGGAGGGGATTGTAGCACGCATGATAGAAAACAGAAATGCGTGAGAGATTTTAGTAAGAAAACACGAAGGAAAAACTTTGAAGACATAGGGGTAGACGGGTGGAAAGTATTAAAATTTATCTCAGAGATGTGGGATTAGATGGTGTGGACTAGATTCATATGGCTCAGGATAGGGTAAAGCTATGTCCTCTTTGAACACGGTAATAAACTTATAGGTTTCATAAAATTCGGGGAATATGTCAAACTGAGCATATATTAATATGTGAAGAAGAATTTTGATCCACGGAAGTAATTGACCATATAAACAGTGCTACGTCAAAAGCAACTCCGTCAAGATATATTAGAAATTGTTTTCCAAAGAAGTCATCCATTTTTATGGGAACTGAGGTTCATACACATTTTACAGTCTTCTGAATATCGCCTGCATGGAACTGGTAATTCCGACATCTTGGAGAAATTTGTAGATTCTTTGTTTATGCCCGAAGTGGCAAACTTACTGTTGAGAAGTTTATGAAAGAATACTAGTTAAAGTGAAACTCCCATAATTCAAGCTGTCTAACACATACAAAGATGATGTAGGGCACCGTTAACCCTGTAAGTGCCAGGTGTAGAAAATTTCGACCCTTAGGAAAGTTGCTATATATGACAGTTTATGGCTTCTGTTGGCATTTTGTCTGATCCACACCGTCAAGAAATATTCTGGGTGAATTTCCCCGTGAATTTGGCTTAGCAACCTAAAGATGTGGGGTTGGATACCCCAAGAATCAATCCTACACAAGAACAGTCTTGTATTTACGTCTGGCATTGCACCAAGTCTGCGCATGTGCCGTCAGTTTCTGCAGCACCAAGACACAGTTGTAGATGCAGCGATCTGCATTATCTTCTAACATCAAAAGTGACTTGTATAGCTTGAGCTACGGAAGCGGTTCTCAAACTGTGACAAAGCGACCCCTGACAGCAAGTGCATTTACCGGAGCTTCATAATTAAAACAGCTAATATCACTAAGCCGATCACAGTGGCTGCGCTGTGTAAGGAATAAACCGTCTTCGCCCGCCAAAACACTGGGATCCTGGGTTCGAATCCCACTCAAGACATGGATGTTTTTCTGTAATTATTCTGTGTTTATGTTCCCCTGTGTAGGCAGCGGCCTTGCGGCAGGCTGATCCCCCGTCCTAGGAGTCCTACCGACTGTCTAAAAAAACTTTAGTGAAACTAAGCGTTTCACGGATGCCCTATGCTCCAAGTGGGAGGAATAGATAGATTAGATAGATAGATAGATAGATAGATAGATAGGCAGACAGATAGATAGATAGGCGGTCAGACAGACAGATAGATAGGACTAATATTGATGACAGGATTATCTAGCATATTTATGTTTATCGGTGTGTGAATAAGCAATTAGTGCAAACCCTGCTGCTACTGCTGCTACTACTGCTACTGCTGCTGATGGGCGTGATCACAGTGAATGTATTAGAAGTGCGTGTGGACGAAACCATTCATTTTAATAACCAATTTAACGTACATTCAAAATTCAGCGGGAAGTGTCACCATTTGCCATATACGAGTAAGCTCTCGTACTTTTTAACTTCCCCTGCTTTCTCCCGTATTCCTTTCCAGTCCTGCATGTTTATCGAATGATACGTCGAGGCCGACGTTTAACGTCGCCTCCCACGAATAGCACGCACAGATAGCCAGTTGTAAACTGTCACTTCTACGTAACGTACTACACTTCACAACTCTCAGAACAAAATACTGTTACGACTCACAGACAAGACACGATATACTGAAGCAGAAGAGACTTACTGCATAACTTGCGTCCATGAAATGTAC